TTCGCAAAGCATTAGCCAAGGACCACATGCCCTGCAAAACGCTGGATGATATTTGTACAGATAACAGGATATAATCACAAAGACAACGCCAGCTAATAGGACTCCCACTATTATAGTGATGTTCCTGAAAGAAAGCAAATAGAAGCGTTTGAGTATTGACTACTGCATTCCTTCTCCGCCGAGGGTTGATCCGGGGTTGGCAGCTGAAGGGAGACTCGCATACAAAGGGATTGGAAAGGCTGTCATCTCTTATAAGGGTACAAATGACAGATTTTGCTACGAATTAGCTCAATCAGGGCGTTGGAAAGGCGGAAAGTGTCGAGTCGAGTCAAGTGTTGTGCGTAAAGACATTTCTAAATAGGAAAAAAAGGACAGCACATCGTACGGACGTTTTTGAGCGACGCACATCAACCGGAAGTGGACTTTCTGCTTAGCAATGCAAATTAGGTACCTTCAACGCATACCACGCATACAAAGGCTTCACTTCCGGTTGGTTGACGGGCGTCGCTTAAAGCGTCTTTGCTTAAACTTCCTATTGTCTCCTTAAGGGGTCAAGTAAAGCCTGGACCAGACCCAGATTTGTCTCATACGGGGTTCAATTTTATTATCCGACGAGCACCATTTTCCCTCATATCGAAGTTCCCTCCGGAGGCGTTGGATGGAGCATTTTTGGATCTGAACCTGGCGAAAGGAATGCAGGGCAAAGTGAGATATTCATCATTCGGCACACTGCAGACACTTTCTCCAAAAATCAAGAACCTCTTTGTATCGCTACGGAGGCCAGGGAGATACTCCAAACCGTGAACGCGGAATGAGTCGGTGCTTCTACGGGGAACGGATCGTAGGGATAACAGAATAGCGGGAAAAACTGGGTTTTGTGATTGAAGAATGCTATCACGGAACGCTAGACAAAGTTTAATCAACCTTACTGGTTTCGTCCTTTAAAGAGAAACCACAGGTGAGGAATAATTACATGTACATTAAACCTTATTCATGCCTCTCTTTGGTTTTTATTTTGTTTTGTGTCCTTCTACAGTTCTAGGAGAGGCTCCGTCCAGGGTCCAACCTCTTACTTTTTTAGTATATAATATTCATGGCAGAAAAGATACCCATTTTGTATACCTTATATTGAAAAGTGCTACCTCTTTAACATACCTACCTGATAAAAATAAACGGCTAAAACTGGAACTGAAGTTATATTTTTTCATATTTCGTGTAACGTTTGATAAGTTGAAATGATATAGTCACAAGGCGCGTCTTTTCGAAACAGTTTCACCAAAGGCCCTTATAAATACTTAAATGATAGATTACCATAGAAATTTCTTACAGCAGGGAGCCCAAAATTGCGGCCGTTTTTGATTTATTCCCATTCTTTCGTGCAGATTTAATCCCATCAGAAACCAGCTGGAAACTATCCTCGACTACTGATTGGTTAATGTCAGCATGAAAAAATGCGAGTTAATTAACCCTTTCACTGAGTGCTTGGCTGTACCTTCACATGGTGCTATTTGTTTTTCAAAATTTCACAAAATAAAATTTGGAAATTTGGTCAAAAGTTGCTTTTGGCTAAACTTGGCAGTGAAAGGGTTAAAGGAGGTCACACTTTTGAGCTCCTTGCTGTAAAGAAATACACGTCAATTTATTTTTCCCTTTTATTTTTCCACTGAAAAATTAAAGGGAAAAGCTGAAAAACAAGTTCTTCGTAAGCCTTGGTTTACAAAGGGTCTTTCAAAATCGGTTAGATAAAAAAATCTGTTATGAAATATCTTTCTTGTACACGATCCCAATTCTCATAGCCAGTTAGTCTACAAGCGCTATAAAAAGAAAGTTTGGGTTGATTTCCAGTGAGGCGCAATTTTTACGTGAGTACGTGCGTAAAATTTAAGTTTGTAAATAAAATAGAGAGCACAAGAATTTTTTAATTTTAACTCTTCCTATCGACTCTTACAAACGTGACTATCTAGTTTTTATGTTAAGCAACACTAATAATACTAATAAAAATAGTAACGATTTGAAACACAATATAACAAGAAATGAGTCGTTAAAGAAATAAGATAAAAACATAATAAAAAGTTATATCTATCCCATGTGTTTGATTTGACAGTTGGTCTTTGCCCCGGTCATTGAGCCGGTCAAGTCCAATGTGAAGCAATAACTGTTGATGACGTGACGATCTCAAGTTCGACGTACGTGGACACTAAACAATTATTGGATGAGGTTTTTGTGATACCCGGAATAATCAAGGTCGAGGTAAGTTCGGCTTCGGCTGATAACACTAACCGAGACCTTGATTATTCCGGATATCACAAAAACGAATCTAATAATTGTGTTATTATACAAGCCATTCTTATTTTTTTTTTATAGAAGCCATTCTTACTTCGCGAACTTGACATTGCTGTCCGTGCACTTGACATTGCTCTTGGAAATCATGCATTGCGCGCGCAACCTACAGATTATTAACTAATCTGTAGGTACAGATTAGTGAATAATCTGTAGGTTGCGCTGTTTCCCAGAATTAACTGTAGGCTTTTAGCCAATGAGAAGACAGATGGTGACTACAATGTATAATAATAATACTTATTACTGTAAACTTTATTAATATGACATCTCGTTAGAGCGCATTTCAACATAAAACTATACGCCAATAATCCATCGTCATCATCGTCAGTTTCCGTATGCTCCTGGTTTTATATTCGACTTCCTACTAAAAATTTCTTCTGAGATGCAAATCGAAAATTACTTATTTCAACAGTAAAGATTCCACGCTTTTACTTTTGTTCATAAATTCGTTTACCTTGGGGTCACTGACCCTGTGAATATTCTTCTCACGCTTTTAGGTTTCGGTTTCACCGAACAATCAACTTTCGGTTTCAAGAAAGAGGCTACAAAGCATGGTATTCAGTCAAATAGGTCCTACTAACGAGTGTAACATAAAAATTTCGTTTAAAATTAATTTAGTCTTTCAAGATAAACAAATATGAGATGACCCGCAAATTTAAATGAAATAATCCCGCATATTAATCGGAATTGCACAAGGGTGTACAAATGTGTTTTATAAAAACATGCATGATGCATGCATTTACTCCGGGATTTACTCAAGGAACAGAGATATGATCGAGGGGATGTTTTTTCATGCCATTTCTTACCTGTGCAAATCACTACCTTTAGAACTCGATCCTGAGCGAGCATCGTTGCTGTTTTCGTTTGTACTCATTAGGGAGCTGTGGTCCAGATGCGAGGATGTGTCATTCTTCAGCGCAATGTTGGTCTCAGATAAAAAGGACTCTAGCGGCTGTCCTGTAACATTGAGAAGCTTGTGATCGTCCAGATTCCGTGACGTATCATTGTGCAAAGAATTATTCTGAGTTATAGGGGCTTCCGGTGGCAATCCTGTAAAATTAATATAAAACACTAGCGCTAAAGAACATATACTCTTCCACCGAACCTACGAACTGAAATGAGGTTGAATTTCTGAACTGTATAATATTACTGTATATACTTACTATATGCCAGTGTAACACTGAAAATGCTCAAAAGAACCAAAAAAGGATGAAAAATAACCATTCTGTTAAAGGACAGCTTGGATTCAAAACTTTTACCCGGCTATCGATTTTATAACAACCAACCAAGAGAGGACAAAGTTGCAACAATTGAACTCGTTTCATTTCCTTGGAGAAGGTGTTGAAGTTGTCTTCTTATCGTTTTCCATGACGCTAATCCGTTGTCCGGTAAACTTGACAAGTTACAAATAATGAATTACTCTTCTGGGAATTTAAAAAACGTCATATTGCATTAAAGACGTCTCCAATGCAAAAGACGAGCCAAAAATCACGCTCGAGTTGGTGATCGGTCACGTACCATGAGCCCACATTACTTTGGCCAGTTAAACATAACGCTCGGTAGGTACTTTTAGTAGGGTTATTAAAGTGTATCATTAAAGTAGGTACAAGGGAAGTACATGATACCTGGTAAGAAATTTAAAATTGAATAAAGTCAAATCTGTGGCTACCAAACAGCCTTCATGTTCTTAAAAGTTCGCTTTGCTTAGTGAAAGTCCGAAATAATAATTAAGCGTCATTTACGTTATCATGGGTCAAACCGGAAGTTTGAGCAAGAGGAAATAAACAGGGGCTAGAGATTTAGGGTCACGTTAACGGAACAATGGCAAATCGTGAATTTGTGCCACGTGACCAAGTTTTCAATATATGCTACGTATGAATAAACGAAATGTATACAGCTATTTCGAGAAGGGCAATATGGGATATGATCAATACACTTGTTCTTGACACTGTAGCTGTCGAACCTACTTTTGTTGCTCAGTTTCCATTAGCACTCGCAAACATACGTCCATGGCCTCTCGTGCCATTTTTTGAAATTTATTTGAAAAATAGTGAACTAAAAACCACCCACAATACCCTTCGGGAATGTCGCGTGCATTTTTTCCGACAACCTTTCTCGAAACAGCTGTATATTTCGGTTTTGAACGCAAAAGTTTCTCGAATGGAATAGGCTCCTTAGGATAGTAAAATTATAAGAATTTAAGATGTAAGCCGATGAATTTTTTTTTAAATTACTTGGAAAATACACTGGCGTAAGAAGACACTACATACGTACAAAAAAAACATGACAAGTAAGGGTTTAAAAACAGTCTACGAATGTAAATAGACGACAAGTTTCATTTTCGCTCTTACTCTTAAGAGTACACTGTCACCGTAGTACAAAAAATTTTAACTTTTATACGCGACAAAGACTAAAGGTTTGTAGTGGTTATATACGATACTGAATAAATTCATGTAAAATAACTGATGAGAGGTTGACAAAGCATGTAAATTAAAGATAGGATAAAAATGAAACATCGAGACATAAATGTTACAAACGGCTCCTGGCTAGGGTTATTCTGTGCAAGTTTGCTTTTTAGGACGAGCCACACGATAATTATGGAAATGACATGTACATGCGCTCCTTAAAACGTACCATGCTAGTCCTAAGCTTTTATTTGTTGAGCTTTTCTGTACATCGGATTAAACTGTGGTGCCAAGAAACTTGAATCATTTCCATATTTTCTGCCGTTTTGTCATAAAAAGTAATCTTACACAGAATTTTCCTATCAATTGATGGACGCGGAACCAGGGTTGTTTAGGCAAAATAGAAGCAAAACAAAACATTTTCACTGTTCCGCAAAGCTATTCTCCGAAATTCAATTTTGTTGTTGTTTCCAATCTTCGTGTTTCCAGTTGAGTTAAACCGATGTTTTAACTTAAAGCCCAGTGCAAACAGAAGCAATATTATTGGCCATCAACTCCCGAAACATTGTTGGATTTTACGTGTTGCGTCCGTTTACCATGTGGCATGTTGTTGCGTGTTGTTGGGAGTTGTTGCGCAAAGTTTGAAACCGGTCAAACTTTTAGCTACATGCAAATGGACGCAACAACTCCCAACAATGTTGTATCCGTTTGCACGAGGATTTTAAAAAGGCGTTATTAAAAACATGTTACAAACTAGACGTCGCCAGTTGCTTTTTGACGACAAAATTGACACGACATGTACATTGCACAGGGGCAACCAACGAGGATATAGTTCAAAACCACTTAACATAGCATTGTTGAACGTATTTTAGTATTTAAACGGTAGACATAGGCATATTTTTATCCCCTAAAAACTTTTCATCTGTTCGGATTTCCTAGCTGAAAGTCTAGTGATCTGAAAATTATAGGGATCAAAACGTACCTTTTCGAAAATTTCAGCCGGGGAAAGGGTCCCGAAAATTCTAGGTGGCCTTTTTTAGGGTAAAAATTCGTTAAAAATGGGTAATTATACCATTTTGTAGATGTTCGAAAATCCTAGGAGAGGCAGGCAAGCAAGAAAATTTACAACAAATGTTCCAAAAATTATACATCTCAAATCGTCTTCCGAACAGATATTTTCCGAAAATTGCCGTTGGGTGCCCCTGATTGCAAATTATTGCGAGACACCAGTTGAGAAACAGTAACGTACCCTGATGGGTGTCTGGTAATAAGGTTACAAGCCGTTTCCGAATTCTAAAACTCTCTCTGTCAAAACGGGGCTAAATGCAAAACCGTTCTTATGAAAATGAGGTTTATTTACATGAGAATAAAATATTCGCACTTGGCCTCGCTTTGAAACAGAGGCTTAGAGCAACTCGGAAAATGCCCTATTATAAGAATGGAATCTTTTTTTTCAAGGTTAGAAATCAATGTTCTCGCGTTTTTTGTCAAACTCAACAGTTCTACTTGTTCTTTTAACGTAAATGGTGGTTTTCCCTTGTTCCCCAAAACTTCCCTTCATAACACAGCTTCACTAGTCACAGCAGTCGCTACAACATTTAAAACAGTCGCTACAACCTTTACCACACTCGCTTAGCAACATTCGCCACAACAATTACCACAGTCGTCACAACAGTTGCATCCACCACAATCACAGTCACCACAACTTTCACAGCAATTCCACCCACTACAGTCGCATCCACCACAATCACAGTCACCACAACTTTCACAGCAATTCCACCCACTACAGTCGCATCCACCACAGTCGCATCTACGGCAACCACGACATTTACGACAACCTTTACATTTCTTGACTGGATTTTCGCAACATTCCCAGCACATAACACAAGGAATACAAAAGTACACCCAAGCGCTTTCTAAGCATTTCTTTGCTGGCTTTATGCAATATTCCCAGCACATTTCACAAGGACTACAAAAGCACTCACAAGGGCTTTCTAAACATTCCATAGCTGGCTTCACGCAACCCTCCCAGCATGCAATACAAGGCCAACAAATAAATATACAACATTTCTCTGGATGTATTATCAACATGATACAACAAAAACCGACTAAAAGCAGCGCAACTATTCCACCAATCACCAATCCTGCTGTTGCACCAATACTGTAGAGAGAAAAAATAAAAAAATATAAAGCAAGTCAGTGCTACAGTGGCGTTTTTTTGTGTTCAATATGTATTCTCTGAAAATGATCGGGGTAGAATATACACAGTTTTTCTGCTTGTACAGCGATTGTTGCTTACATTCATTAATGATATTTTGCGCCGATCGTTATTATCGTACAGGCCTTTCTAATCTAGTTACAATTGCGTGTATGGTGTGCGATGATTTAAGTAAAACGAAAGCTTAAATCAGGAGGGTGCAGTTGGGCAAGAACTACGTAAGAACTGTATGACGTAATTGCATTACAATTCAACCAAGCCATCCGGGTGGGACTATAAATGCATAGAGAAAAGAATAGTGTAAGATTATTTTGCAATAATGATGATGCCAGCTACACAGAGGAGATGGATATCTTCGAAAACAAGATTAATGAGACACAATCCAAAGACCTTCTCTGTGTCTTTTGAAAATAACAGGATACTTGCCACATGTCTGAAAGAACTGGCTTGGGACCGAATGAGAAAAGGTCTAGGTCCAACAAAGAGATACCTTCAGCGTATATTTTAAGGCGCATGCGCTCTTGACACTTACAAAGTGAACTTAGTAAATCTGGAACTTGAAAGAAGGCTAATTTAATATCTTTTGGTTTTATCTCTACCGTTAAGTTTAAATGGAAGAGTTGTCAGGCTACAAGAAAGGGATGACGTCATGATCAGACCAGGTCTCAAACCCTTTGCCTCCTACCCCCCTCCCCCCACCCCCGCCGCTTCCCCCGTCTAAAAAAGGTTAATGAAAAATGCTATTATATTAAAGTTCACCTACCATGCGGAGGGACTGAGATGCTTAAGTCCAATAAAACCAAGCCAGCAGTCAGTTCTATGGAAAAAATTTTATAGTCCATTGCATAATTAAATTATATTATAATAACTTATCGTAATTATGATTTTACCTCAGACAACCTCTTTTTCCTTTGAAAATGATCATTCATTGAATATTCTTTATTAACCACAGAGAGCCGCACAGAGCCTGAGAAAAAAGACTGCATTTTGCGACACACCTCTGGTTTCCCCGCGAAATCACGTCTGAGAAACAAGCGCAGAATATATTCCATACTGATGACGCATCTGTTCCTTGACCTAAGCAGTGCTTTTGATAGGTCTAAATTTTGTTTCAACCAATCAGAAGGTCTCAGGTCTCGATAACATACCTATCTTCACAGCACGATGGCTCGCCGTTATCATCAAGACAGCACTTTCCTTTGCTCGGGTCATCTGAGGGTCTTGGACAATAATCTCTTTTCGCTGCACCATCAATACATCGACTGCCACCTGTACGACAGCATGATGGTCCGTTATCATGAAAACAGATGGGAGTCAACGAATTACTGCAGTTTGCTGAGTGTTTAGGATCTGAGCAAACGATCCTCTCTGCCAAGGACAAGCATCGCTAATAAGCAAATTAGTTGACTTTAAAAGGGACCTTAGGCAACGACGACGGCAACGGCAACGAGAACGGCAAGAAGCAATAGGTTTATATTAGAAAAACAACAACTTTGCACGTGCATCACTCTATTTTTGTACATTTCTTTGCCGTCTTTGCACGGCTACGACATGAAATTGCCTATTGTCACGTTTTGTGGAGTAAGTGAACCTAAGACAACGACTTTCTTTTTCTTTTCTTGGACTTCGATACAGTCATTCAGAATTAAACTCCAGAAAATTCGGCGGTATTTCGCGAACTGAACGAGGTGGAATAAGCAGGAAAGTTTGAAGCAGGACGAATTCGCTTTAAGTGACGTTTTCGTAGCCGTTACCGTCGTTTTTGCTTAGCCTCCCTTTTCTTGTGATTTTAGGACGATAAAACGTCGAAACGTACTCACAATTGTAAAGAAGCAGGACTTTTACAGAGTGTACGTTTTTATTTGAGCCGCAAAAGTGTGGAAGAGTCTTCTCTCTTATCTAAAACCCTTAACTTACATCAATTATTCTAGTTCTTCCACCTAAAAAATACTCTCCGGTTTTTTTACCCCTAAGATAATTATCATCTTAAATCCTAAACCTGCTTACAGTGTTATGTTGAATGTTGCATTTTATATATTTTAGATAGTACAATGGTAGTAGTGTCCGGATTAGAAAGTCCGGTTTTGTTCAAACATCCCTCCAGTCACAAACATATTTTAAATGTAAGGAAGATAATCGAAGTCATAGACGAAAGAGAGGATGCCGAATCCATCAAATTATAACGTTACCTATACTAGCTAAACAACACAGTTCACGCCATCGAGCCGAGACAGCCTTCAGTAGATATAGTTCAAAACCACTTAACATAGCATTGTTGAACGTATTTTAGTATTTAAACGGTAGACATAGGCATATTTTTATCCCCTAAAAACTTTTCATCTGTTCGGATTTCCTAGCTGAAAGTCTAGTGATCTGAAAATTATAGGGATCAAAACGTACCTTTTCGAAAATTTCAGCCGGGGAAAGGGTCCCGAAAATTCTAGGTGGCCTTTTTTAGGGTAAAAATTCGTTAAAAATGGGTAATTATACCATTTTGTAGATGTTCGAAAATCCTAGGAGAGGCAGGCAAGCAAGAAAATTTACAACAAATGTTCCAAAAATTATACATCTCAAATCGTCTTCCGAACAGATATTTTCCGAAAATTGCCGTTGGGTGCCCCTGATTGCAAATTATTGCGAGACACCAGTTGAGAAACAGCAACGTACCCTGATGGGTGTCTGGTAATAAGGTTACAAGCCGTTTCCGAGTTCTAAAACTCTCTCTGTCAAAACGGGGCTAACTGCAAAACCGTTCTTATGAAAATGAGGTTTATTTACATGAGAATAAAATATTCGCACTTGGCCTCGCTTTGAAACAGAGGCTTAGAGCAACTCGGAAAATGCCCTATTATAAGAATGGAATCTTTTTTTTCAAGGTTAGAAATCAATGTTCTCGCGTTTTTTGTCAAACTCAACAGTTCTACTTGTTCTTTTAACGTAAATGGTGGTTTTCCCTTGTTCCCCAAAACTTCCCTTCATAACACAGCTTCACTAGTCACAGCAGTCGCTACAACATTTAAAACAGTCGCTACAACCTTTACCACACTCGCTTAGCAACATTCGCCACAACAATTACCACAGTCGTCACAACAGTTGCATCCACCACAATCACAGTCACCACAACTTTCACAGCAATTCCACCCACTACAGTCGCATCCACCACAATCACAGTCACCACAACTTTCACAGCAATTCCACCCACTACAGTCGCATCCACCACAGTCGCATCTACGGCAACCACGACATTTACGACAACCTTTACATTTCTTGACTGGATTTTCGCAACATTCCCAGCACATAACACAAGGAATACAAAAGTACACCCAAGCGCTTTCTAAGCATTTCTTTGCTGGCTTTATGCAATATTCCCAGCACATTTCACAAGGACTACAAAAGCACTCACAAGCGCTTTCTAAGCATTCCATAGCTGGCTTCACGCAACCCTCCCAGCATGCAATACAAGGCCAACAAATAAATATACAACATTTCTCTGGATGTATTATCAACATGATACAACAAAAACCGACTAAAAGCAGCGCAACTATTCCACCAATCACCAATCCTACTGTTGCACCAATACTGTAGAGAGGAAAAATAAAAAATATAAGGTAAGTCAGTGCTACAGTGGCGTTTTTTTCTGTTCAATATGTATTCTCTGAAAATGATCGGGGTAGAATATACACAGTTTTTCTGCTTGTACAGCGATTGTTGCTTACATTCATTAATGATATTTTGCGCCGATCGTTATTATCGTACAGGCCTTTCTAATCTAGTTACAATTGCGTGTATGGTGTGCGATGATTTAAGTAAAACTAAAGCTTAAATCAGGAGGGTGCAGTTGGGCAAGAACTACGTAAGAACTGTATGACGTAATTGCATTACAATTCAACCAAGCCATCCGGGTGGTACTATAAATGCATAGAGAAAAGAATAGTGTAAGATTATTTTGCAATAATGATGATGCCAGCTACACAGAGGAGATGGATATCTTCGAAAACAAGATTAATGAGACACAATTCAAAGACCTTCTCTGAGTCTTTTGAAAATAACAGGATACTTGCCACATATCTGAAAGAACTGGCTTGGGACCGAATGAGAAAAGGTCTAGGTCCAACAAAGAGATACCTTCAGCGTATCTTTTAAGGCGCATGCGCTCTTGACACTTACAAAGTGAACTTAGTAAATCTGGAACTTGAAAGAAGGCTAATTTAATATCTTTTGGTTTTATCTCTACCGTTAAGTTTAAATGGAAGAGTTGTCAGGCTAGAAGAAAGGGATGACGTCATGATCAGACCAGGTCTCAAACCCTTTGCCTCCTACCCCCCTCCCCCCACCCCCGCCGCTTCCCCCGTCTAAAAAAGGCTAATGAAAAATGCTATTATATTAAAGTTCACCTACCATGCGGAGGGACTGAGATGCTTAAGTCCAATAAAACCAAGCCAGCAGTCAGTTCTATGGAAAAAATTTTATAGTCCATTGCATAATTAAATTATATTATAATAACTTATCGTAATTATGATTTTACCTAAGACAACCTCTTTTTCCTTTGAAAATGATCATTCATTGAATATTCTTTATTAACCACAGAGAGCCGCACAGAGCCTGAGAAAAAAGACTGCATTTTGCGACACACCACTGGTTTCCCCGCGAAATCACGTCTGAGAAACAAGCGCAGAATATATTCCATACTGATGACGCATCTGTTCCTTGACCTAAGCAGTGCTTTTGATAGGTCTAAATTTTGTTTCAACCAATCAGAAGGTCTCAGGTCTCGATAACATACCTATCTTCACAGCACGATGGTTCACCGTTATCATCAAGACAGCACTTTCCTTTGCTCGGGTCATCTGAGGGTCTTGGACAATAATCTCTTGTCGCTGCACCATCAATACATCGACTGCCACCTGTACGACAGCATGATGGTCCGTTATCATGACAACAGATGGGAGTCAACGAATTACTGCAGTTTGCTGGGTGTTTAGGATCTGAGCAAACGATCCTCTCTGCCAAGAAAAAGCATCGCTAATAAGCAAATTAGTTGACTTTAAAAGGGACCTTAGGCAAAGACGACGGCGACGGCAACGAGAACGGCAAGAAGCAATAGGTTTATATTAGAAAAACAACAACTTTGCACGTGCGTCACTCTATTTTTGTACATTTCTTTGCCGTCTTTGCACGGCTACGACATGAAAGTGCCTATTGTCACGTTTTGTGGAGTAAGTGAACCTAAGACAACGACTTTCTTTTTCTTTTCTTGCACTTCGATACAGTCATTCAGAATTAAACTCCAGAAAATTCGGCGGTATTTCGCGAACTGAACGAGGTGGAATAAGCAGGAAAGTTTGAAGCACGACGAATTCGCTTTAAGTGACGTTTTCGTAGACGTTACCGTCGTTTTTGCTTAGCCTCCCTTTTCTTGTGATTTTAGGACGATAAAACGTCGAAACGTACTCACAATTGTAAAGAAGCAGGACTTTTACAGAGTGTACGTTTTTATTTGAGCCGCAAAAGTGTGGAAGAGTCTTCTCTCTTATCTAAAACCCTTAACTTACATCAATTATTCTAGTTCTTCCACCTAATAATACTCTCCGGTTTTTTTACCCCTAAGATAATTATCATCTTAAATCCTAAACCTGCTTACAGTGTTCTGTTGAATGTTGCATTTTATATATTTTAGATAGTACAATGGTAGTAGTGTCCGGATTAGAAAGTCCGGTTTTGTTCAAACATCCCTCCAGTCACAAACCATATTTTAAATGTAAGGAAGATAATCGAAGTCATAGACGAAAGAGAGGATGCCGAATCCATCAAATTATAACGTTACCTATACTAGCTAAACAACACAGTTCACGCCATCGAGCCGAGACAGCCTTCAGTTATAGATACTCATTTGCAGTCAATCTCGTACTTTAGTTACGATTAAAAAGTATACAAAATAGCAGTAAACTAGGACAAACACAATGAGATTTGTAAAGAAATAGATTAATATGCGAAGTAGGCAAAATTGCCAATATGACGTTAAAGTTCACAATCACCACCACATGGAGGAAATATAGTCGGGGCTTTACGAATTAAATTAGACAACATTTAAAACTGCAGAATTTCACAATTGCATGCTATAATTTAATTTATGTGTGATGGGAAATTATTATAGCATAATTCTAGTTTTCTTATGTAAAGTCACATTTCTTTCTTTGAGTCACTGAAACACCTCGTTCTGTGCTTGTCAATAGGCCATTTTACAGTTATGGATGGAAGCGAGGGTGGGGGTGACCTTGTTTTGATACAAACCTTCTTTGCTTTGTTATGGAAATTGTTCTTGAAAAATACTAGTAAGCATAAGAATAACTTGATTTAAATAATAAAGCAGGAAGGTTTGTATCAAAACAAGGTTACCTTCAGCCTCGCTTCCATCCATAACTGTAAAATGGCCTATTCAGTTGTACATGTATTTTAATAACAATGAACTTTGATACCTGGAAGATTCGTTGCAGGAAAGGTTGTTGGTTGAGCTAAAAGGGAAACAGAAAGGAATTTCAGACCTTTTTAACTTAGTTTCGGCAAGTTATTACTAATCCAAGACTATGACCCTGATAATAGCATGGACTAAAAGGCTGCCGCAACGCAGAAAATCAAAGGACTTACGGTACATTTGAAATCCAGCTGGAGGGAACTTTACTCAACATTTACAACATTTAAAACTGCAGACTTTCACAATTGCATGCTATAATTTAATTTGTGTGTGACGGGGAATTATTATAGCATAATTCTAGTTTTCTGATATAAAGTCACATTTCTGTTTTCGTGATTTTTTGAGTCACTGAAACACCTCGTTCCGTGCTTGTCAATTCAGTTGTGTTTTAATAACAATGAACGTTGATACCTGGAAGATTCGTTGCAGGAAAGGTTGTTGGTATAGCTAAAAGGGAAACAGAAAGGAATATCAGACCTTTTTAACTTAGTTTCTGCGATTTATTACTAACCCAAGACTATACTCTGATAATAGCATGGACTAAAAAGCTGCCGGAACGCAGAAAATCAAAGGACTTCCGGTACATTTGAAATCCAGCTGGAGGGAATTTTACTCAAAGTCTGGCAGTACCTTTCTTCAAGAGGAAATAAACACGGTACAAGAAAAACTGCCATAGTGACAACTTCCTCGATATTAAGATGACACTTTTTTCTGGTCTGGCAAAAGACCAGCCTAGTCCCTTGGGGTTCTCTCTTGTCCCGTTGTCCGCGTCTGGGAAAGAGCGGGCGAGTATCTCTCGGTGATGTCACAGCTCATGGTAGAGTCCAGGATTGACCGAGCTGAGAACGCCTAGGGACTAGGCTGGCAAAGACCAATCATTTCCAAACTCTACAACCTCGATAGTGAGACAAGCCGAACGTGTAATGAGAACAGTTATAGAATAGTCTCTTAGTCCATAGTTGTATAGCAGTCTATTGAATTTAATGTGGTATAGAATATCTTTGATTACAAAGTAAGGTAAAGCTAAGTATCCCAACGTGACGCTACCCCATTAATACGATCGATATTCCACGGCATTTCATCGTATAGATCAAAATCACGTACTGTTTTAGGGAAAATTAACGATCATACCGACAGCGACGTAGGTTGCAGAAAATCCTTTCTCGTTCGTTGTAAGATCACTGTCGAATTCTATCCACAGAAATCGACCAGATGATTGGATTGGCGAAGGCTTGTTGTCACTGCAAAATCTTCCTAAGCTGGGAGAACTTCCATCACTGCCGTCTCTTATCTCAACGTGGTCACACGTACAAACAGAGGTCACACACGTTTCTAGCAGAAATGTCTGGAAGGTCAGCTGTACTCGGTGGCCCTGTTGAACACCAATAATCCACCTGCACGTTCTGCTGTTTGGGTAATTAGATGGGTAGTTTGGACTTGAAAAACGTCCTGATGAACCAGTGAGAATAAAGCCATCTTTGTTGCACTGTGCTTGCACTAAAATGAAAGGCATTTATGAGAGAAGGAAGAAAGAAAACCACTACCGTAACTGCCTCTTTGAAAAACGGTTTTTTAGTGCAGTTTTTTTTGGATAATTTTTCCTCCATCAATTTCTTTTTCCAATTTTTCTGGCAGTGGTTAATAACTTGAGTGCTTTTACTACAAAAAGACTCCCCCTTCATACTCCAGGTATCACCGTAAATGACCTAATAAACCGCGCGCTCGGGGCGTTTAATAGATAGGAGGTATTTAAAAGAGAGCGGCGTTTAATACTCTCATAACTGTAACAAACTCAACCAAACTAATAACAATCGGAAAAATATTAAGAGATTTTGAAAATAGCGGAATATCAACTCCATCAATTGATACGTCTAGGCCGTCTAGAGATCCAAATCTCTCCTTCAAATCCCAACATCGATGTCAGAATCCTCACTCTCTCAGGGTTATTGTGTTGCCATCGTTAGTCTATCATTACCCTTAACTTGACATTGAACAAGATGAAATACGCAAAGCCTTGTCAACCAAGCAAGAAAATGAATGAATTGAATAATTTTGCTAATTCCTAGTTTTTTTATAGAGTAATTCAGATTGGGGGAGTTTATTAGAGAGGGACATCTAACACAATTTTAGCAGCATAGAGGGGGCGTTTATATTTGTATTTTTCTTACCTGTGGGAAAAGTTGTTGTGGGCGTTGTATCTTAATGAAAATCAAGAGAGGGAAAAAGTTAGCTTTCTCGGTTAAAAAGGGTTCGTCAAAATCTTAAAACATGTAAAATTCTTTTTCTTACCTGGAGATGCTGTTGTTAGCTTTCCTTAAATAAGAAAAGAAAAAACAGTTACTGAAAAGTTTTTTATGTTAAAATGTGTTGTTGATCTTGTTATTGTTTGTTTTGAATGTTCTCCCAATCACCTTGTGGAACATGGACTACTTTCATTGTGGTGAGCTTAAATTAACAAGTTTTGCAACTTTAAATCCAAAAAATGTTGGGTATATTAACAACCCCCCCCCCCCTTTCCCCAGCCCCCCTAAATCACACTTATTGTCAATTAATCGGGAAGTTTTGTGCATTGAGTAAGCCTTTTATTTCCATGTACAACCCTGGTCAAAACTCTTGGCACACTAAGTTAAACGAAATAGCCGGCCCGTCAAGTTGAGGCATCTCCCCTTTCCCTTTCCCCCAAGGGTGCAGTGTTGTTATTATGCATTCCAGTTTTAATTCAACACTATCAACACTGCTTGGGGGAGAGGGGAACAGCAGAAACAGCGCCTTATAACAACATCCCCAATAGGCGTTTTTAAGAGGGAGAAGCAAAGTGCGTCTTTGTGCCTAATTTCCTCAAGTGTCCCAAGACGTTTTGACCAGGGTTGTAGTCGTAGGTCATATAAATGTTATTTCTCTACCTGGAGAGGCTGGCGTTGGAGGTGCATCTTAAAGAAAAAAGAGGGAAACGGTTAGCTTCCTTTACTCTTTTATGTTTGACTAACAACCGATACCATTGTAATGGCAAGGACTACTTGACAAGTCGAATAAATTTCAGGAAAATTTGAGAAAATAGTTAATTTTAGCGCAGCTGTTTTGGGTACAGTTGCCTGTGATAACTTTAAATCATTTCCAAAAATCTTCTAAGGGTGGGTTGTGTGTGGCTTACATATCGAATGGTGCAGCTATGCTATGAGTGAAAACATAATCATATCAAAAACAGCTAAAATGAAACTAGTTGAATGAAAAGATTTCATTAATTTTGTGAGGATTAAGAGAATCGACTAGAAGGTAGCTAAGAAAAACATTTGTTCTAATGAGGCTAGATTTTTGCGGCTTTCCGTGTTGCCTTGGCGTAGGCCGAACGGATCCGGAGATAACATGACCACAAATTTTGATGTGATGGCTGGAATCTAAAAATGCAATCGTCTCTAAAATCCTCTTCAAAAACCTAGTTTCCGAAATGTCTGAGAAAAACTGAGCTCGTTTTGATATAATCAAATCTAAGCATTTTGTTTTACTTGTGAACTTTTCATTTTCAGTGTTATCTTCATACCTGAAGGAGTCGTAGATGGGACTCTAGAGGTCGTCGGGGGAACAGCTGAAAGAAAGGCGGAAAAACTTTGAAAACGTGTTGTAAGTGTATCTTAAAGAGAACAAGTGGGGGAAGTTAGCTTTCTGTTGCAGCGATTCTTAGTTGCTCATGTCTTCCACCTTCCAAGCTACATGCACTACATACCCGCCGGTATTGTTGAAAGAAAGAAAGAAAGAAAGAAAGAAAGGATAAAAGTTAACTTTCTGTTAAACATGCAGTTTCCTTTCTCTGGCGCTTTCTTGCAGTTGGTTATACTGTGGGGGAGGTGGTCGTCGACGGGAAAATCAAGAAAAAAGCTCAAACTGATAGAATGTTTATCAGTGATTAACGTACTTACCGTATAAAAATGTTCTACACTGAATAGCGCTTGGCAGATCGTATTACAGCCAACTACTGAATGGTTATTTTCAAAGTGGTCGCTTACGAGAAGTGGTCGCTATGACAGAGTTGACCAATTTCCCGCGTAGTGATCATAAGCCTTTAATTAGCGAATCACATCGTAGGCCATACAAGTTTTATTTTCATTCCATGAGAAATTGTCGAGGGTGTATTGCAAAGTAAAAAAAAATTGTAAAAAAAGGGTTAGCTTTCTTTTGATGTGTATGTAGGTTCTTCCCACCCTCTACATCGCAAGAATCACTGGAAATAAATAAACTTTGATGAACATTTTTAAGGTCTTTTAAATTATAGTCCTGTTGTTGGGTAGTGAGATTGAGCCTTTATCGTAGGAACAAATTGCAGGTTACGTAATTCTATCTTCTTACTTGGAGAATGCGTTCAAATGTATCTTAAGGAAAGAAGAAAGAAAAATTTAGCTTTTTGTTCAATATGATACATTTTTTATTTTATATGTGGTCCTAATTACACAAACTATAGATCATAGGGAATGATTGAAAAACAGTCTAAAAACGGAGCGGCCATTATTAATAGCCCAGCTATTGTCGCGTATATCTGGCTGCAGCAAAAAAATTGTTGTCAATTAGTCCAATTTTCTTTGCTGTCATTAAGTAATTCATGAACAAGACAAATTAATCTTACTCTTATAAATTATATTATAAATTATATTTTCGTACCTGGAGAAGCTGTAGTAGACGTTCCTTAATAAAAGCAAAAACGAGGGAAAAGGTTAGGTTCTGTTATATAATAAAATATTCTCTTTAAGCATGTTATCTTAATTACAACAGCAATATGCTGGAATGAAAGAAACTTTGAGAAGCCGGGATCTTCTTTTCCATCTATTGTCATGTTTGTTTGCTTCTTATATAATCACTGGCCCAATACCTACGTTTCTTGAGCGACTGATTACTTTGTTAAAGGAGCCTATACATCTAGGTTACGGAGAAGCTGTTCTAAATGTTGTACCTTTGAAAACTGTTTAGCTTGACATTTTACATAAGCGAACACGAATGACAAATTTATTTGTTCTGGAGTGATAAATTTTTTAAAAGCGTGTTTCATAGCCAGTTATAAATTTGCCAAAAATTATTTAAAACGAGAGCTATTGCTAGATTTTGTGGTATTTCTTCCCGTTCATTTTTTTCTCGTTCCCTTAAGTCTTTAGTCACATGACCCATGATGTCAGCCTTGTAACTTAAGATAACCATCTGTAGACTGTTGTGGACATGTCTCATATTATCTCAGTCATAACAGATGAGACCTCTATTATACTTGGGTCAAAATATCATCATTAAAGATAGGACCTATGTTACCCTTGGATCCAAATGTTAATACAGATGAGACCTTCATCACACTTGGGTCCAGTTATTACACTAGTGCCTTCTACAACTCGTCAAAGCGAATCAAGTGATTGTTGGTTCTGTGTGGTTAATCAATCGAACGGCAGGGCTATGCTTGGTGAACACATAGTAATATGAAAAACAAGAATAAATCGGTTTAAATAAAAGCATTCATTGGTACGCATTTCTAGTATTGCGGCTTTGTGCTGTGTTGGCTGGAATGATTTGCCGGAAGATAAAAACCCTTTCGACACTGAGTAAAAATGTTGGTGGAACTGGTACCTTGTTTCCAAAATGTTAAAATCACTGCGTTTTGTTTAGATTTATTCAAATCTAAATAGTTTGACGTCTGATTTCATTTTCATGGTAATCGTCATACCTGGAAGAGTCGTTGATGGGATTGTTGTGGACATAGCTGTAGGGAAGAAAAAGGAACAAAATCAGCATTGTTTTTGTTGCTGGTTCCCTCTCCTCCGCAGAAGTCCCTACTGTGATTCCAAAAAGATTGGAGAAAAAACATCAAACAAAACAAAGTAAGCACACGCAGGATGATGGGAAGGGGTTTATAAGGTAGACTGACGTCCCCACTCTACTCGCCCGCATTTCTTTATTCCCTCTCCCCAGGTCTCCCCACGACAAAGGGTGGAATCAATAATCCTCTGCGGAGTGGAGAGTTACAGGTTCATTATCTATGTTATTCCAAGTAACAAGACAACAGCACGACTGATAAATACACAGTGCCCTACAGGAAATTATAAGAATATAGCCTACTCAGTGGTCTACACGCAAAACGATTTAGTTTCAAAGTTCGAATATTTTGTTCGAATCCCTCAAACGTTATCCGACTACTGACAAATGAATACGAGTAGCTGATCACAGGAAACTTTACATTTAAAATGTCTTCGCAAGAGCAAGCCGAATCAACATTTTCAGTTTCTGCATATTGTTGTTTCAACGAATATAAAACATTATTACCACTGGCAAAAATATCGTGGGGTACAGGTAAAAAAAAAAATGTAAATGTTTTAGTTCTTCTCGCTAGGGAAATATGTAAAAGGTTTTCAAAGGTTTCATACCAGTAAAGATATTAGACCTGCCACCCCTTGTAGCTTTTATGGGAGATATACAACTAAGCCGGAGAGAGAAAAAAAACTAGTGGAAAATAAGCGAACCCAGTGACGTTTTCTCCGAGAACCCAGTCGGAAGATATAGATTCCATTGGGTCTATTAGAGAGGGATGTATTTTGTTGCCCTTTCTCTATACACAATGACGACGTGGAATTTCCTAAAGCGAAAGCCTATCAAGGAAGTGGACAAACGACCAATAATCAGTTACTTTAAAATTGTCTTTTTTGAGCTGGTTTCTTCCCGTCCCCAAGAATGTTCCGAGTGCTCATATTTACGAAATTATTGATTTGAAATACAGCGATAAGTTTGAAAGAAGACGAGTAAACTTTGTTCCTGATTTTATTCTTAAGCTCACGGAAGAATTAGAACGTAACAGCCAGCTATGTGAATTAGTACTTCAAAGCTATGTGATAACAACAACAAAATCATACCGATCGTGGTGTAGGTTGCAGAAAATCCTTTCTCGTTCGTTGTCAAATCACTGTCGAATTCTATCCATAAAGATCGCCCAGATGAATGGATTGGTGAAGGCTTGTTGTTGCCGCAAAATCTTCCGAAGCTGGGAGAACTTCCATCGCTACCGTCCCTTATCTCAACGTGGTCACAAGTACAAACAGAGGGTATCACACACGTTTCCAGCACAAATGTTTGGAAAGTCAGCTGTACTCGGTGGCCTTCTTGAACAACAATAATCCACCTGCAAGTTCTGCTATTTGGGTAATTCGATGGATAGTTTGGACTGTTAAAACTTCCTGATGAGGCAGAGAGTATGACGCCACTGCTACTACACTGTGCTCGCACCAAACGCAAAAGGCCTACAACTGTAGAAAATACACTGAGTGCAATTAATGACTAGTTCCTCGGCGTATACTTCCTTTGTCTTTAACACTGGTAAATCTCATTTGTTTGAATGATTTGGTGGGATATTAAAGTGCTGAGATAAAAACGTTAACTTACCAACAGAAACATGGAGAAATAAGGAAACCCAGTACTTCTTTTTTGCGCCCATCATGTAACCATTAAGCAGAAGCAGGTGAAGAAGGAATTAAATGAAGCAACTGAAACAATGATGACGTCAATTAAGCTAATTTGCTTATTTTTTTCAAAACTTCCTGTATATTTGTTTCGTGACAAAGCCCGATCGAACTTTAAGTAGTCAAACCACATTTATTGGCAAGTTTGGGCCGGAATCCCGAGAAAAAATCATAGACTATTTCAATCAAAGTATTTATCATGTTCAGTGTCCCTGTCACCAACAATTTCAACTTCAACCTGTTCATGACCTCTTCCTCTTTGGTTGTTGTCTCATGTGATAGTGCTACACTTTCACATAGTAAACAATGAAAACAAGACGTCATTTAAATGTTTTTGCTCAATATTTTATAAGAAACTTGTTTTTCAAAGCAGTGACCGACGCAGACAAGAAGTTCGGGCTGGTAAAGTCTCTGTTCCATGATATAGAAAAATTGTTACTTTGCACTTTACGCTCCGCATTATTGTTAGAGAAGCTAAGGAATTTTTATCACTTTAAAAACGATAAAATTTCACTGACTTTTGCAATTTTTAAAACTTAGATTGCCATCTATGCTAGTTTTGCTCACATATTATAAAGGTATTTTCCGCATAAAAGAAGCGGTATTTAAGACCTCCAATATTGAAGAACAGGGAATCCGCCGGAAGGCGTCGGAAGGTGAAATTGGGTCTAACAGGCCATTAAACAATCTGGCAACTTCTTAACAAGATCACAAGCTCGTGTCGTGTTTAAGTGTTTTGGCTACATTCTTTTTGTAGATGTTACAAACAGTTAGTTGTATTTCATCACAGAAACGATTGATATTGTTTCACTTCAAGCTCAATTAAGGACATATTGTTAAAATTCAATATGCTCCAATCATGCGAAAAGTTAAGAATACGCTGGAGACCTATATCTACGCTGAAACTAGGTTATAGGTCAACGCATGCAAGTGTTAGCAACGTATCTAAGCTCTTAAAAACACTGATGAATCAACCTTAAGCCTAGCTTTCTGTGCTCATGAAGTGAGACCGAACACAGGCGAGAATTATTCCTGCAGTGAAGGAAATAAAAAACTCCCGGATACGTACTAGAAAGATTTAGAATCACGTTTAAGGCAAAAGGCAAAGTTCAGATACACGTCGACAATTTTTCAAAGTAGGAAATGAGCGGAGAGGAATGAACCATGTAAAGGGAAAAATTAGTCTGGAAATAAAAAATGTAAATCTCTCTTTTATGCCATTCCTCCTTTTTTCTCCGTTTAGCGTCGTCTGACCGACCCAAATTTTTGTCATTTTCAAAAAAAAAAGTAACGACGTAGTTAAACCATTTTTCACTTGAAATAATTCTTTTAATCTGGAAAATGCGCATAGTCATTAACAGCATAGAGAAAAACAGGAACAAAAACAGGAACATTTTTTACAGTTGTATTGTGTATTTTGTTAATCCAAATACGTGAATGTTAAGTTTTAACGTCGTCCTGGGATACCCTGCAGGGCTTCCTACTCCGAGACTCCTTGTGATTTTTGTTTTTCGTTTTTCCTTTTTTTTTCAATCCGACCGACCGACCCAATATCAGGAAACGCATTCGAAGCTAAAAGAAAAAATAAGAGATGGCCTTGGCACTTGTGAGCAGTTCTTTAGAGTCTTCCTGTTCCTCATAATAATTTCTTTAAATAATACGAAATAAAACCCAATTTTTTAATAATTTTTGTGTAATACATTTAACTAGTCTTTACTTCTTCATTTGCCACGTCACCGTTCTACGGTGGTCGGCAATCTAACTTATCAATTCATTTAATAATATTTAATGTATTTCACTTCCCAGCCGATGCAAGATCACAGATTCTTTACCTACTTCAGTAATTTGACAGAAGAAACGAAGGAATACGTACTCACTGAGAACTACTAACTCCTCTTTACTATTTGACTATTACTGAATCATCCATTTAATAAATTATCTCCCAAGGTTTCGGAGCGGCAATTCGTAGGGGAAGCTAATAGTATTCCTACCAAAATCACCTTTCTTTTTACCAATCTTTTCAATCTCTTGAGTGACTTTAATTAATCCATGAGATAGGTAATAGAATACAAAGCACTATTATGCACTAATTGTCTTCTTTTGTTTATCTGTTGCTATCATTCACAAGTTGTTAGCATCTGTTTCACGGGTCAAGTAAAATCACTCTAACATTCAAATGCAACTAGCTCCGTTCACATCATTACGGTAGGAATAACATCAAGAACCCTCCGTCAAGGTCCCGTGATTTTCTTCTCTAAGATCTAAAACCACATTTTGTGTACAATATAACCAAAGTACTGCCAAGCGGTTTCATTTGAATGTTCTCACCATAGGATTTTAGCCATAGACTCAAAAGTTAGAACGGCAAGCTTAATAAAAAACACCAGGATAATGTTACATTTGAATGGTCTCAAAGGCCGTAGGATTTCATCTATAGATTCAAAACTTAGAACCAAATTGACAGGTA